AAAAACAGGTCCCAATAGGTTTTATTTAGACTGATTTTATGTAATTAGCACGGTAGCTTGGTATATAAAGCTCGTGTGCATCATAATCCATTGCTGTCTGACGATCGGTATACGTGAAACTTAAGTAGATTTTTAAAATTTTTATTTTTAATTTTTTCATTTTGAACTATATATATATATATATATATATATATATATATATATATATATATATATATATATATATATATATATATAGTTCAAAATGGAAATTATGAACTATATACTGAATGTCATAAACCCGACCGTTCCGGGCGTAAGCCCGGGACGAGGATACTAATTCCTCCCGGCTATTTACACCCGGGGGAAAGAAACGCACTAGCGAAGTCTAAAGGTCATCAAATATCGCGGGCGCGGTTCATGGGTGAATGGGTGGTCATCTCACTGATCTCAAAATATGGCTGTTGGCCAGGAGTGAAGAAGGGGAAAATATAAAATTTACATGTAAGAAAGCTTGCAAAATCATTTCACATAACAAATTATAAAACTTTTTTCAATTTTTAAACGTAAACATTTATAAGAATTGATTTAGTATGAGAAATCCTAAAGTATAGCCTATAGGGCAAGTTTGTTTCAATTGTTTATGTATGACTTTATATTAAAATTATATAGACTTTGTTCTTGTTCTTCAAGTCTTTCCTATGCATTGTATGCGAAAGTTTCATAGTTAAATTAACTTTTGTAGAAGTTCATGATAAAAGAAAAACGAATTATTTTCATTAGCGTTTTGTACAAATTAAATTTATTTCATTTCAAAGTGCGAGTAATAAGTTGAAGAGTTTAATATCGGCAAAAAGCAGTTAATTTCAATTCACAATTAAAAACGTTTTACGTAGAGTTTCGTTTTCAATTTTACATTAAAATAAACGCGCATAGAAACCAAAATAGTATACATACTTTATATATTTTAGAAATTGATAGTTCTGTACTTAAAAGTGTTCAAGTTTCATCTATTGTTTGCAAGTTTGTACCAAAAAAAATAAAAAAACAATTATCGTGTTGCCATGACTAACATAACGTGAGCAACGCGAGCCTGCGGTCAACTGATGTTGGCGTAATTACGAATACTTCATGTTGAAACAATATCTGGAGAATATAGGCGAGGGGTTGTTGCATGCATGTATTTCTAGTTTTATATGGAGTATTCGCTTCTTGTTGTCGTTATTATTGTGATCGTCGTTGTGTCTTGGTGTGTTTGTGCCGTCTGACCATAGCAAGAGGGACTTATAGGCAAGTTTACCCAGACCGCCCTTATTAATGTAATGTGCCCTCTCTAATGTAAATGTTGTATTAATACGAAAGTTTATATTATAGTATACAACAGTTGGTGGTTTACCAAGTCGTAAATTAAGTCCTGATGTTTGTGCTGTATGTGGTCAAGGAACAAATCTTGCAGTTGCATCTGACGAAGATGCCCCGGAGAAAACTTGTCGACTTTCTTGTGATCATGTGTATCCTTCAAGCTATCCCAAACACAATGCCGAGAGGAATTCGGGTGATTGGAAATTAAAATTAATAATATAGAAAGATCAGTCCGTAAAGACAGCATACGCTGTTCTTGCGGGACGCCGCTACTTTTGTTAATTGGACGTTACTTAATTCGGAAATCGATCAGTCCTTCCTGACAGAATTCAATATTTCTCAATTAAAGTGCCTACCCGCACCAGCATGAGCTCGAGTCGTATATGAGCTGATAGTCAAAATAATGAAATATTTCATTCGAGAACATCTGTTGCCATGTCGCTTCTCTTTAAAACATGTATAATGTGCAAGCGCGTTGCTGCCTTTTTTGTAAATATCCCCGAGGGTACTAATTCCGCACGGCTTGTTATACCCGGGTATGTGAAAACATAACGAAGTGCAAGGTTGTCCTCCATTTTAATTGTTTATGTCATGCATGGACGGTTTTTGAATGTATATGAACATATAGTATATGAATATGGATGGTTTTCGAATATATATATATATATATATATATATATATATATATATATATATATATATATATATATATATATATATATATATATATATATATATATATATATATATATATATATATATATATATATATATATATACAGCTAATTCAATAAAGGTTGTCCTTTGAAACCTTAAACTCTAAAACCTTAAACCTTAAACTCTAAGCGCGCAAAGCATAATGGGAGCACGATTTCAGCAGTTTACAAAGCATATATGGAACCCATTTCTTGGAGACATGATAAATATCTCCCTGCAAAAACATTTCATTGACAAACAGCTGCAATAATCAACTACTAAGCTTGAATCAGTGCTCCCATCATGCTTTGCGCGCTTAGAGTTTAAGGTTTAAGGTTTTAAAGTTTAAGGTTTGCAAAGCTGACAACCTTTATTGAATTAGCTGTATATATATATATATATATATATATATATATATATATATATATATATATATATATATATATATATATATATATATATATATATATATATATATATATATATATATATATGTATTATATATATATATTATATATATATATATATATATATTTATGAAACATGACCTTGGACTTGTTAAGATACTTATTTCGCTAAAGTTATTTAGATATTTATGTCGCTAAATATGATTGGCTAATCTAAGACAAAGGGAGAGGAATGTTATGCTCGAGCGAGCAGCCGCTCGTCGGGAGAAACCCCGACACAAAGAGCGGCTGCGAAGGAAACTTCTATATGGCCAGAAGTTTACTAAATAGCCGGCTGCCGGCTGTATAGTCACTTCGAATGTTTACTCCATAATCGTGAATGAATTTTTTTTTTCATAGCTAGAACCATGCATAATTCCTTTGCGCAGATACACGTACGCCTAGCATACCTACTTTTATGTTATTATTTTATGATATATTATATGTAGTTTCCTTAGTTTTCATTTTAAATTATAGTGTAACCTAGCTAGCTTTGTATTGCACTGCGGAAAAGCAAGCGAATGGGTGCATTCTGGTTGCTGAGTTTGAAGGAATAAAACTTGATTTAGTTATTTTACAAAAGAAATTTGAGACTGAATTTGCGACCGAACGTACCAATGTAAGCCAACTTAAGCGAGAACTTGCTCATGAAAAAGATAAAAAGAGTCGTCTTCAGTCGGACTTGACTTTGTTTGTGAGAGAAAGAAATGCCGAATTCGATGAATTGAATGAAACAATAGCCTTACTTCAGCCTAGACCTAGGCCTTCTATTTTTATTTATATTTTTTTAATATTCAGCGCTTTTTCACATGAAAAGACTGGGACTAGGTAATTTGGGGGCGGGGCGGAGGAAGGACACAAGCCTGACGCAAGCGAAAATATAGAAGGCCTAGTGGATTTCCCAACAACAAGGCCAAAACTGCCCTGAAACTGCCCTGATTGCGAAATGCCCAATTGTTGCGTTCTCAAACAGAATTATTTGCAACTTAACAGCGAATTTAAACCGATACAGGTAAAATAAACTCATTTATAGTATAAACTTACTATTTTTATTTGTATACACGTCTAGAAAATCGGGTTTTTTATCATAAAGTGTGAAACAACACTATTTATATAATGTTGACAAGGTGTAGCGAAACGGCACAAAATAATAATTCTTTTATTCGCAAGACAATCTACTGTTTTGCTTTGAATAACTATATTTGCGAATTGGGAATGAGGAATTTGAAATTAGTGTTCAAATATTACAGATATACCATTTGTATAAACAATGTACGTTTTTATATACAGTACTGTACGGGCTAATAATATATGTATCCGTTTTATTTTGTATATTTTACAAACACAAGACTGCTTCTTGCCAAAATTGAGAAAATATATATTAATGTACTTGTGTATAAGACAAAATTTCATGAAAGATTCTACTTTTGGTATATATTTTGACTCATTTTGTGCTTTCGCTACACCTTGTCAACATATTAAATAATAGTGTTGCTTCGAACTTTATGATAAAAAAACCGATTTTCTAGACGTGTATACAAATAAAAATAGTAAGTTTATACTATAAATGAGTTTATTTTACCTGTATCGGTTTAAATTCGCCGTTAAGTTGCAAATAATTCTGTTTGAGAACGCAATAATTGGGCATTTCGCAACCAGGGCAGTTTCAGGGCAGTTTTGGCCTTGTTGTTGGGAAATCAACTAGGCCTTCTAGGCTTGCTTCCTCCGCCCCGCCCCCAAATAACCTAGTCCCAGTCTTTTCATGTGAAAAAGCGCTGAATATGAAAAAATATAAATAAGACTAGAAGGCCTAGGTCTAGGCTGGCCTTACTTAACGACAGAATCAAAACTAGTGAAGCGATTATTGATCAACTGAGACCTTCTAATGCAAGCATAAATTTGGAAGAAACATGTACTTTTGATTCTGCTCAATCAAAAGATGAGCTTGTCAGAAAATATCCAGTTTGTGTCGACATTAGTACGCAAACCAAGAATGACGATCAAAAATTATCTAATAATAATGCTGGTCAGTTTTGCATGAGTGAAAATGCGTATGTTAATCTCCTTAATAAGGTTGCCGAAG